CACGAGCAATCCCTCCTAATATATATATATATTTATAAATGTTTGTTCTCAATTGAATTACAAACCTTTGGCTGTAGATTTTTTGATTCATAGAGCTCCATTCTTCCAATTTTTTTCATTTTATTTCTATGTTTCATCGAGAAAACATAGAATCAAGTTCACGAGCCAAAGGGGAGAAGATGGCTTTCGATCATTCTATGAAAATTGTTTCATGAGTGAAGAAGCTCAAGCCATGTATGAAGATTCCTTTTTGTATTGTAAGATTTTACTAAGCACAATTTTTTGAGTCTTTGTCGTTCAATTGAAAACATTGTTGTCGATTGTTAGGAAGATTTCATTAAGGACTCTAATGCCACTACTATTCTCATAGTCTGGGATCTCCTGGTGGATGCCAAATAGCACAGGGACAACAAAATCTTTGTAAGAGGCAATTATGTTCTGTTCAATAGTGCACTAATCAATGCATTGTACAACTTGCTTAACTACACTGTTGATCGATACACTGTATTTGTAGTAAATAACGTAATTAAATTGAAATATTATGTTATTTTACAAACTTAATTATAGAGTCTAATGCAAACAGCGTGTGGAGAAATAAAAGTAATCTCCCCATCGATGCTCTTACAATGGAATCTAAAGCTTGATATTCCATCATTTATGTTAGGATGTTACCTAGCTTAAATGTGAGTGAGGTAATAAGAGATTGAGTTGCATTGAGGTAAATAATAAAAATTGATGTAGATCATGCTATTAATGCATTTATTTTGTAATTGACTCATGACAGCATGATTATTGAGATTGGCCCCCCATCCCTCATTTATGTTATGTGAGTAACTATGGGAGCATTGAGATATAAGGTAAAGGAGCAAATTTTTCCTAAGCATGACATCACAAAGAATAGCATCACTCTTACAAGAGGTCAAGGGAGTTTACTCTAGCTTCACCATAGGCTTTGACCTTTTGTTGTTCTTATTCTATCTCTGAACAAGTGTAGGAGATTAAAAGAGATGTTACTTCCCTACATTAGAAAAAAGATTAGTTGGAGGAGCCCGTTGATTAGCATTATGTTCACCATGAGTAGTAGCAACACTACCAATTTGCATGACAGACATTCATATTCACTCGGCTCTTCGCCGTCTAGCTATGCGGGTAAAACTGAGCCACCTCCTTATCAATTCTATTTAGATATCGGTCATAGTGAAGCGACAATGGAAGAAGGCATCAATGATGATGATTGAAAAGGCTATAATGATTATATGTCGACAAATTTCTAGTGATGTTGAGTATTGTTTTGTTTTTAGTTGTATTCTTTTGGTGATTTTTTTTTTTGTTGTAGAAATTGAGTTTGAGGTATTTGTTATGTTGCTTGAACTTATCATATGTTACTTATAGTGTAATAAACATTACTGGTGCTTGTTATTTTGTTTTTATGTGATTTCCCAGTGTTTTAAGCATGTGTGTTTTCGTGTTCTCTATAAAAACTGCTCCTTAACCATCCGCTACTAATTAGGAGCAACTACATGAAATGTAAAATAAAAAGAACAAGTTACTGAAGGCAATATGATGGTATTTGTTTCTTAAGGATGAATGTTTACAATATTTAATAAAGGCATAAGACATAAGAAAAGGTTGAATTACATATACATATGCATATACATATATATACAAGAAAATTATTGTTTACTAGAAAATGATATTTAAACTTAGTATTTCTTACCAAGATAAAATTACACCTCTGACATAGAAATGCAAGAAATAAGCACATGATACAATTTATTACCACTCTAGAAAATAGACAACCATAACATTGACTTTTGTTCTTTTTATTAACTAGCTATCTAGGATTTAGCTCTGTAATTGAAACTACATTAGGTGACATTGGCATCGTCTTGCTTGAAGATTTGTAAGTGCTATTCTCATATATGTCAGATTTCCTAGAAAATGCATCCGAGTTTATGCCTTTTCTCCCTGAAAAAAATGAAGGCGCTGAAGGAGCTTCAATGGACATAGAATAGCTGTTGAGCATGACAACCACTGTTGTCATTGTAGGTCTTTGAGAAAAGTCTTGTTGTACACAATGAAGTCCAATTTCAAAGCATCGTATCACTTCACTTCTCGGAATAGATTTCGCTAAGGTTGGGTCCACAATTTCTAGGATTGTTCCATTGTTCCAATTCTCCCAAACCTTCTCAAAATAAATCCAAAGATGCATATTGTTTAGAAAGAAAAAATGCAAAGTGTTTTAGAGCATTGAAAGGAGATACATATACATACATAACTTAAGAGATCTTCAGAGCGGTCATCATTAAGAAAACTGGGATTACTCCTTCCTGTTAAAATCTCTAAAACTAGCACTCCAAAACTAAAAACATCTGACTTGACTGAGAAATGTCCGTGCATTCCATATTCTGGAGCCATATATCCACTGCATTAAACTCTTGTGTTTATGACATTGGTCTTGCAAGAGTACTAAAATTAATCAAAATTTAACATTTGTTTAACTTACTATGTTCCAACAACGTGACTTGTCATCCCCTGAGTCTCGTCTCCTCCAAATAGCCTAGCCATGCCAAAGTCTGAGATTTTTGCATTCATGTCTGCATCTAACAATATATTGCTAGCTTTGAGATCTCTGTGAATGATCTTTAGTTGGGAGTCTTCATGTAAATAAAGCAAGCCACGAGCAATCCCTCCTATGATCTTGTATCTTTTCATCCAGTCTAGTAGCTTACTTTTTTCTGGATCTGTGCCACGTACAAATATATAAAAATGTTAGAGTCAAGTCAATTTGATGATAATGATAAAAGGAGCCAAATCTCTGCACCCTGTTTATATAAGAAAGTGAATGAAATGTGAAGTCGACTACCAAGCTCAATATTTAATAGTGGTTTAAGCTTTGATTAAAAAATAAGTACAAAAAATATTACCAAAGAGAATGGTATCTAAGCTTTTGTTGGTCACATATTCATATATGAGCAACTTCTCTTGTTCTTCCAGGCAGACACCATATAGTCTTACAAGATTTCTGTGTTGGAGTTGAGCTATTAGAACCAGTTCATTTTTTAGCTCTTGAAGCCCTTGCCTTGATCCTGTTGAGAGCCTCTTGACTGCTATTTCTCGACCATCCTGTAATACTCCCTGAGAGACAATCAAAACAAGAAAAATGTTGACAAATATTTCTGTGAAGTAAAACATCAATAGAAAATGTAGAAAATACGAGTTAACATTTTACCTTGTAAACTGATCCAAAGCCCCCTTCACCAAGCTTGTTAAGTTCTGAGAAATTTTTAGTTGCTACTTTAAGTGTGGGTAAATCAAATAGTATAGATTCAAAGTTGGCAATCTCTTCTGGGATAGCATCACCTACAAAGGAATACAATTTTTTCAATTAATATATATCTATATATATACATGATTTCTTACAATGATCAACACAAGAAAAAATATGCTTTCAAATCATCATGAATTTAAATTTGACAGTTTTTGATAAATATGATTTTCAGTCTCAAGATATGGGGTCCATAATAACCTAAATAGCTCTTTGTATTTGTTATTTACTTTTCTCTAATAAAAATATTATGATGTACCTATACTGTATAGTGTGGTGAAATAATATTTTCCTCTTCTTCTCTGTTTATATCTTCTTCTTGCTGCTGCTGCTCTCACAATCCCCTTGCATCTTCTTCTTTGTTCTTTGGGTTATATGGTATCGAAGCTCCTTTTTTAGGCTTCACCACCATGGATGATTTTGGATAACCACAACTACATGAAGTCTTGGTAAGTCTTCGCATATCCAAATCCCATTCCAGCCTCTCTAGAATTTCTGATGTCTAACGAATTTTCTCTAGAATTTCTGATGTCTAACATGAAATTCATGGTCACAAACACCTTATCCGCCAACAACTATCAACTATGGAGACATCAAATCATCAAGATTACCAAAGCCAACAAATTTTAGGGTTTCTTTATGGATCAATTCAGTCACCTGCCTCAATGCTTTTCAGTGATTCCAACACTCCCACCATTAATCTGACGTATACCACATGGACTATGAAAGATTAAAATCTTGCGGATGCACCGTACTCAAAAATCTCTGCATCCGTTTTATCTTATGTGTTGCATCAGGATAGCTGCAGTAAAAAGTTGGCTAACCTTGGAGAAGAGTTTAAAAGCTACAAATTGGCTTAGGGGTTTTCAACTCAAGAATAAATTGCAGTGTTACCATGCAAAATTTGACTCGACATAATACTTAATGAAAATCAAAACCAAAGATGATAACATCTCAGCAGCAGGATAAAAAGTTGATATTGAAGATATCATACATGATGTTCTTAATGGTTTATCAGCTTCCTATCAAGCCATTAAATCTACCATAAGAGATCGGCAAGCTCCCATTAAACTGGAAGACCTGTATGCACTTTTAATCTCTCCTCTGATTTGAAAGTTGAGATCACTAATCTGAACCCCCAACTAGCCTTATATACGTACAAAGGTAAGAACAAATACTCCAAAAGCAGAGGAAGCAACACCTCAACTCACTCAAAAGGAACCAAAGATCTTCCTCTTACGCAAACCAAAACATTTGGATTGGTCGCATGTCAAATATGTAATAAACTGGGACATATTGTGTCAAATTACTGACACATATTGAATATCAACTCAAGTTAATATCTCTACAAATCGATTTACCTCCAATAATCACATTGCCTACATCATGTCATCCAAACTCTCCAACAAACTAGATAGGTACTTAGATTTTGGCATAACCTTCTGCTTGACCGCCGACTATGATCAGCATCAGCATCCATAAGCTTATCAAGGTAACAAACGAATACTCGTTGGCAACAGTAACAGAGCTCATATTCAACATTCAGGAACCGACATTCTTCCCACACCCACTCGTAAGCTAACTCTTTTCTACATACACCTCAAATCTCTAATAACCTAATATCAATCTCTCAGTTAGCTAACGATAATAACCGCATGATTTTCTTCGATGCTGACAGATATCAAATAAAGGATCGCTTTACCACCAGCTTTTTTTTCAGGGTCTCTGGAATAATGGGTTATATATAATTATCAATAACCATCAAGCTCTTACAACTGTTACTGCTCAAATCGACAAATGGCACCAACGGCTATGACATGCAGACTCTTAGATACTTCAGCTGATAGCCAAAAAGCAACCGCAACTACATATTTCCAAGAAGTCAACTTTTTGCATTACATGTATTTCTTCAAAAACTTATCGTATGTCTTTTACAAACTCTAGTACTACTCAAAGTATTCCATTAGCTTTAATTGATTCAGGTGTCTGTGGTCCTTCCCACCATTTCTATCCAAGGTTACATATATTATGTATTGTTTATTGATGATTTTACGAGATACACATGAATCTATCCTATGATGCAAAAAATCTGAAGATGTTACACATTTTATAAGGTTTAAACACCAAGTTGAACATCAGCTTAACCATCATATAAAGGAATTAAGAACCGCAGAAAGGCAAATATACTAGTCATCAATTCAAAAACCTTCTTCTTATTTATGCATTATCCACCAAACAAGTTGTCTTTACGCTCAGCAAAACGGCTCTGAACGAAAGCATCATGACATTTTGGAGACTACCCGAGCTTTTCTAGCTGACTCCAAATTTTCTCTTTAACTCTGGCTTGAGATTGTGAAAACAGTCATGTATCTGATTAACTGGCTTCCATCTAAAATTACTTATCAGTAAATCTCTATATCAACACTATTACTCACGATACCTACAAGCAACTAAAATCATATGGATGTGAATGATTTCCTATGTTACCAACTATACACATAAATAAACTTCGAAAATGATCTTTATCTTATGTATTTCTATGATATTCGGACCACATCAAAGGGTATAAATGCTATGATCCTTCCACTGGTATGATATTGATCTCTTGGTGTGTAATTTTCAATGAAACTGTTTTCTCTTACAAACAAAATATCACCTAATAACTCCACCAAATCAACATCTCACTTATCCTCCCCACTCACTCTCATACCCAATTCTACCAGTCACAACTCAACCAACAACACTACAACTCCCTCTGCCCAACCAAGTAAATATCATTTACCACCCAATCCTTTAATTTAAGGCATACCAACTCAACTTCATTCTACCCATCTGAGAACTTACCCACTGCTCAAACTGTTATTTTGACCCCCAATTATTGAACTAAGGTAAAATGGTCTCACCTACCACTCACCTACCGCTCACCTACCACTCTCTTGCTTTTATAAATAGAGAGGGTGTGAGGCTTAGGAGAGCAAGGGAAGAGATCTTAAGCTACCACGAAGGATGAGAGAATAGCTAGAGAGCTAGAGAGGAGGAGAGCATCTTGAGGCCTTGTATCAAGGTGTCGCTTGAGAGGGAGGCCATAGAAGGAACATGAGAGCTCATCTCTATGTATAAGCTATGTATTCTCCATTTCTTTTCCCTTAGTGAACTATTTGATTGATTCCCTCCGATGGACGTAAATCCAGTTGGATCGAACCACGTAAACGATTTGTATTCGCTTGTGTTCTTTGTGTTTCATTTCTATGCCAGGAAGTACATATCTCACAACAATTGGCGTCGTCTGTGGGAAGATCCATACTATTTAGCTTGAGGTGTCCGCGTAAAGGTGTTCGCGGCCAGCGACTAGGAAGAGGAGTTTGGCATTCACGAACAGAGGAGCAAGCGAATCGCGTCGCAGGCAGTTGAATCGCGACATATTTGGTGAGCAGTGGAAGCTTTTTTTATCAACTGGATTCGCACCACAGGTTGTGCGGTTCGGCGAGACGGAGAAGGAACACTCCGCGAGCGAGGTCCAAAAATTTGCGACAGGGCTGCCAGCAGATGATTTCGGAGCAGGAGTTTGGTCTTGCGAGCAGCTCGGCCAGTGGAAAGAGGTGGAGATCGCGCAGAGAAGGGTTCGGGGAGTTCTCTGTTCGGGAGTTCGCGAAGCAGGAGGACCTAAGCAGTTTGGCGAGGCGCGACGGCTTTGGGGAGGCAGTTATTCTCCTGCGAGAGGCAGAGGAGGAATTTCTGATTTGTTCCGCTAGACGCAGAGGAGTGCCTGCGGGAAGAAGGAGCGAGCACAGAACAGAAATTTTTCTCCGGTGAACAGGTGTGATCTCTGTCAGAAGGGATCGGAGCTCTCCGTTCGGTTGACGAAGGAAGTGGAGTTCACGGGGAGAAGTACAGTATTTTTGTGATTTTAGCCTAGTTATTGGAAGGGCAGTAAGTACAACTCATTGGAAGAAATCCTAGCCACAACAATGAGTTCCGCCAAATCCGACATTGAAAAATTCAACAGGAAGAACGACTTCGGCCTATGGAGAGTAAAGAAGAGAGCTCTATTGGTGCAGCAGGGTGTTGCAGAACCTTGTAAGGGTCGGCGGCATTGCCGGCTGACATGACCAAGAAAGAGAAGATCGGCATACTGGACAAGGGCCACAGTTTGATAATCCTGAGCTTGGGCGACAAAGTTCTGAGGGAGGTGTAGAGGGAGACAACGGATCAAGCACTTTGGGCCAAACATGAGGTACTCTACCTGACAAAGTCTCTGGCTAATATGCTCTTTCTGAAGCAGCGCCTATACTCCTTCAAAATGCATGAAGACAAATCCGTCTCAGAGCAGATCGATGAGTTCAAGAAGATCATCGACGACCTCGAGAACATCGACGTCAAGATGGATAATGAGAACAAGACACTGCTGTTGTTAAACTCTATTCCTAAGAACTACGAGCATTTCAAGGATGTGATGCTCTACGGAAGGGTGCAGACTATTACTCTGGAGGAGGTTCAATCTCTGTTTAGAGTCAAAGAACTTCAGAGGAAGCATCAGAGGAAGCATGACAGGGACAAACAGGGACAAGGAAGTCAGTGGAGACAGTTTTATTGTCAGAGAAAGATCTAACATGAAAGATTCATGAAATGGTCAGTAAATATCAAGGTCAAACAAGGATATGGTGGGAATCAGTCATCAAAGGGATATTTCAAGTGGTATCATTGTCACAAGGACAGTCAATTCAAGAGGAACTGCCCAGACAGGAAGAATAAGTACCAAGAAGAGGCAAAAGAATCAGGAGAAGCAAGCGTAGCCTCCGATGACTATGATTCTGCTGAGGCCCTGGTGATCACAGAATCTGAATCCAATAAGGAGTGGATCCTCGACTCAGGTTGTTCTTTCCACATGTGTCTTCACAAAGACTGGTTTGAGACACTGCAACAGGAAAATGATGGGTCTGTTCTACTGGGAGTCAATAAAGCTCACAGGGTTGTTGGAAGTGGATCAATCAGGATAAGGATGTTTGATGGAGTTGAACGAGTACTGAAAAATGTCAGATACGTACCAGAGCTCAAAAGGAATATGATTTCTTTAGGTACGCTGGAGTCAAGCGGATGCTCGTTCAAGGTAGAGAATGGTTGCATCAGAGTAACCAAAAGCTCTCATGTCGTCATACAAGGAGTCAGGAAAAAGGGGTTGTACTCTCTTATCGGAAGAACCGTGATTGCTAAGTTCATGTACCGTTTGGACTTAACAAACTCAAGCAAAGGTTGAGGGCCTCTCAGGGGCCAGGTGGAGGGAATCTTTACTTCGAAGCTTCTCAATTGAGGGTCAAGGTGGAGAATTGTTATTTTGACCCTCAATTATTGAACTAAGGTAAAAGGGCACTTTGTAATGTGGTACCACTCACCTACCACATCTCACCTACCGCTCACCTACCACTCTCTTGCTTCTATAAATAGAGAGGGTGTGAGGCTTAGGAGAGCAAGGGAAGAGATCTTAAGCTACCACAAAGGAGGAGAGAATAGCCAGAGAGCTAGAGAGGAGGAGAGCATCTTGAGGCCTTGTATCAAGGTGTCGCTTGAGAGGGAGGCCATAGAAGGAACATGAGAGCTCATCTCTATGTATAAGTTATGTATTCTCCATTTCTTTTGCCTTAGTGAACTATTTGATTGATTCCCTCCCGTGGACGTAGATCCAGTTGGATCGAACCACGTAAATGATCTGTGTTCGCTTATGTCCTTTGCGTTTCATTTTTATGCCAGAAAGTACATATCTCACAACACAAACATTTCTTCCTAACCCGCAACCATTGCAACACCCCATGGCAATCCAATCCAATCCAAAACTGGGTCTCTACAGCCCAAGAAAATATTTGATCTCTTACATATTTCTACCTCACAAACTGGGCCTACTACATACAAGCAAGTTGCCCACTTTCACATTGGAAACAAACCATGATAGATGAGTTTCAGGCCTTACAAAAACACAAAACACGGAAAATTCTTCCTCATTCCGCCAACCAACCTATTCTTGGAAATAAATGGACCTATCAAATCAAAAGGAAAGCTTCCGGGACTGTTCACAATTACAAAGCTTGTTTAATTGCCTTGGTTATCTACAAGGATACTGTTTAAACTACTAACATACATTCAGCTTGGTAACCAAGATTCGTAAGATACAATTACTCCTTAGTATTACTCTTCAGCATTAGTGGAAAGTCTTACGAATGGAAGTATCTAATGCATTTCTTCATGAGACTCTTCAAGCAACAATTTATATGGATCAACCTCAATGTCACATAGATCCTCAATACTTTTCTCATGTATTACTTTTACAGAAATTGTTATATGCTCTTAAACAGCTGTCAAGACAATGGTTTCACGGATTCACCAATCACATAATCAAATTTAGTTTTTGAGTAAGCAATTCAGATCCATCTCTTTATATCTACCATCACAGCGCGAATATTCTCTATCTATTGTTTTATGTGGACAACAGGGAACAACTCACGACTAATTCAGCAACCTAAGAAAGACATACAACAAACTTTCCCCATAAAATTTTCAGATTCGGTTACCACCTTTCTCAGTATTAATATCAATCATACTCCATATGGTTACCATCTTAACCAAGCCAATTTTGCCAAAATTCTTTAACGTGTAGGCATGAATAATTGTAAATCTCTTCCTAGTCCACAAACCATCTCTACCAAGATAAGCACTAAATCTCAAGAACCTTACACCAATCCGCATCCAGACAAGCATTTAGTTGGATTGCTACAATATCTAAATTTAACCTGAACGGATATTGCAATCGGTGTAAAAACCTTTCTCAACATCCTCAAAAACCTCTTCAACTCCATTATCAAAATTTCAAATGACTTCTTTGATACATCAATGGAAAATTACAACTTGGTGTACCTCTTCAAAACAACGCCCTAACACTTCACACTTACATTGATGTCAGCTGGGCTAGTGATCCAAATGAATGGAAATTAATTACATGCTTTTTTACAATCCTGAGACCAAATTTACTATCAGAACATGCCAAGAAGCAACCAACTGTTTCAAGATTTTCAACCGATAACTCTTCGAGATCCCACAACCATTTATTGTGATATAATGTTCGCTATGGCCATTGTTCAGAATCCTGTATTTCACTCTCGCACAATACATATTGAGATAGATTATCATTTTATCTAGAATCCGATGTAGAATAAAATTACTTTATCATATCTTTCTTTTGAAGAACAAATGATAGATATATTCACTAAAGCACTTTCAACCTCACGGTTCCACAAGCTTAAACACAAACTAAGAGTATCTACTTAACACGTTGTTAGTTTGAGAGAGCATGATAAAGTTGATTTCCATTCTCAAGATATGGAGTCCACAGAAACCTTAATAGCTTTATATATTTTTTTACCACATTCCTTACTTCTTGTTCTCTAATATATTTACCTATAATGTGCGGTGTGGTGAAATAATATTTTCTTCTTCTATTATGTTTCTATCTTCTTCTTTTTGCTGCTCTCACAATCCCCTCGCATCTTCTTCTCTGTTTTTCGGTTTATAGTTTTAAGCTATTTTCATTTTCATTTTGTTATAGTAAATTTCTAAAATCTATAAACCTGAACATTAGTGCAAGGAAATCTTACCAGGTTCCTTTGTCTTTGGTTTTCTTCGACAGAACCAGATGCTAATAGTGGAAACCAGAACGAGTGCAACTACTACAGGAACTGTGATTGCCAGAACAATGCGCGCTTTACTGCTTCCTGCATTATGGTGTAAAATTTATTATTTGAAATAAGGTTAGAAAATACATTGCAAAACAAATGATTATGGTTCAAGAAAACTGTAACCAAAATGCATCGCATGCTTGACCCTCTCTAATGATTAATTATACTTATTTTGAGTTTTTATAGAAGGAATTAGAAAAGAATGGTAAGAGAGTAAACTGCCCAAAGTGGTCAAAGTGGAGTTCTGGCATGGAGCCTACAGATGTCTAATTCTTTTGGGCCCAGTCAATTGTCTGATTATTAGTTATGCTTAGGTCAATATAAACATATTAGATTTGTATGATATGTATGTAAATCACTTTAATTTGCTTTACATTTTTTTATCTATAACTATATGAAAATTTTGATGTTTGAAGAGAATGAGAAGATGAGAAAGAGGTAGAGATAGATTAGTAATCCTGCATGATTGTATATTACAATAAATGGTTTCAGTACTGATTTTTTTTTTTTTTTTTTTTTTTTTTTTTGGCTAAATAAGTGTAAAAAAAAAGTTAATAGAATGTTAGCTAATGTGCTGAAACGTGAGTCTCTAGCAAAGAGGAAATTTCCTCAAGCACTGAACTCCAAAGCGGAGCAAGTCTACTAAAATTCAGCATAGCAAAACATTATTTTAGAATATAATTGAAACGTTTGAGCATTATTAGCCGTTTCTCAGGCATAGGTGGGGCTATGAAGCAAATCGGAGTAGGAAGTAGTCTTTGTCATTTACCAGAATGCTTTTCAATAGTTAAATAAAGCCAAGAAGTACTATGTAGAAACAATGAAAGAATAAACTATACATGTATCGTCCCAAAATCATAAGTGAACTTTATTCTACTGGAAATGAGAACATGAACACGTTTCTCCGTGGCATGGCCCACAACAGAAAATTAAAAAAAAAAAAAACAACATACCAGAACCATTAGCCTTACTGAAACAATTAAAAAGAATTGCAAAGCATAATTCATATAGACTAACGACTATATAATATATTGATTTAAGTAGAAAAATCAAATTTTGTTATAATAAGCAATGCCCACGGGTCCTACTCATACTGTATGAATTTTGAGAATTTTTAAATCCATCTATGAATGTCATTACTTTTTTTTTGGTTCATAGTTTGATTTTTTTTTCTGTTTGGTCCATATTAAAGAAAGTAGGTTATTATTTTATTTACATAAAAATCTGACGCTAAACTAGTATAAAAGGGGAAAAATTGTAAGATAAACATCTAAGTATAGAGAATCAGGTGGCCTAGATTAGTAAAAAAAAAATTATTTATTTAAAATCATTTAAAAGATACGTACCAGAACCATTAGCTTTATTGAAACAATTAAAAAGAATTGCAAAGCAAAATTCACATAGTCTAACGACTATATAATATATTGATTTAAGTAAAGGCTACGTAGAAAAATCAAATTTTGTTATAATTAGCAATGCCCACGGATCCTACTCATACTGTATGAATTTTCAGAATTTTTAAATCCATCTATCAATGTCATTACTTTTTTTTTTTGGTTCATAGTTTGATTTTCTTTTTCTGCTTGGTCCATATTAAAAGAAAGTAGATTATTATTTTATTTACATAAAAATCTGACGCTAAAGTAGTATAAAAGGGGAAATTTTGTAAGATAATCATCTAAGTATAGAGAATCAGGAGGCCTGCAGTGGTAAAAAAAATTATTTATTTAAAATCATTTAAAAGATATTTTTCTTCGCAATCATGTAACCTCTGGAGCTGTATTACCTCCATGTGATGAATCTGCCCCAGGCAGGGGAGTATTTGCCGGGGAAGGCCCATTTGTGGGCGCCAGGGGCGACGGCGGCTGAGCAGAAGGAAGCTGCAGCATGGACGAACCGTTGTAAAACTTGTAAATCTCATACCTCATATTGCACCACATCCCCAACGTCCTTCCTCCCCTCTTCCATTTCAGAGGATCCCTGGTGATCTGATTCACCGAATCCTGCAGGCATGTCCGGCAATCGTTTGCTGTCAGATCACGCACGCACTGCACAAGTCCATATATATTGTCCCCCGTCGAGAGTAACGTCTGTCCGGTGGCGAACAGCAGCGACGTATTTCTCACGGCGAGATCGGACGTGTTGCCCATTAGCGCAGGGGTTATAGTTTCAAACAGTGGAAGTTGATCGGCCGAGACATTTTGAGAGTTATACATGAAAACCTTGATGTTTGAGGTGACGTCGGGAGCGTAGAGGAAGTTTTGGTTGGAGTAGCGGAGTAGGCAGAAATCATACCATATGGTGGCGTCCTTCTGGTTTGGGCAGAGCTGCTGGATGTCTGATATGGCGGTGTAGATGCAGGAGCGACAGTTGGTGATGTCGGTGTCACCACGGCAGAGGATAAGGCCGGCGACGCGATCGGGAATGCTGCCTTTTGTGAAAGTGGCGAAGCCTGTGGCAGAGGCGTTGGAGGAAAGGGTGGAAAGGAGGACGTTGAGGTTGGAGCTGTAGATGCTGCTAGTGGTGAAGTTTCTTGTGCTGCCGCAGATGTAATAGAGAGGGTCTGCTGTCGCCGGAGAGGGGAACAAGGATAGGAAGATAAGGAGGAGGAAAGCCATGGATGTGAGACTGATAATACTGGCAACAATTCTGATGAGGTACTGCGGTTCTAATTTCTTGATGAGGAGAAGACTCCAGTATAAGTCTTCCTCTATTCAATTAATCAATAATTCTTGGCTGAATATTTTGTGGTGGTGGGGCTGGAATTCCATCAAACCAAGTTTGAAGACTTTCCATGACAAGTAAAGTTGCGGGTCGTTTTTTGCTTGTCAAGTTGATGCAAACGGCTGACTGATCTGTTAACAAATTTTACTAAAAAACCTTTGGGAAACAAATCGCGTGACTTTTTATTCAAGAATAATTTATATAGCAACATAAATACTCATATTTGATGCAAAAAAACAAAAAAAAAAAAAAAAAACACCATCAAATGAATTTCGATGAAATTATAAAGATCTTAAAGAATTGAATCTATGGATTATAACTATAATAAATTATTTCGAGCGCATAAATGTTTTATTATTAGTTATTTTAGAGTCAGGAGACTGTATGGTTCAGAATAATTAAACAGTACAGAAAAATTTTCCTCTCAATCCAAAAGGTATTGGATGTATCACATAGAAGAATAACTTGAATAGATATGAAGTTACTTTCGGAGCGAATTGTTCTCCAAAATTTTGACGCTTATAGTTGAAAGAAGTATCTCGATGAGATGAGCTTGATAATTCAAGGATTGTCAGATGATTAAAATATATCCTAATCAAGGTGATGTTTGTAGTGCTTCAATTCATGGTGTAGAAGTCATCGATATTTCAGACAAAAATTTATAAATAGGCCATGATTTTGCATATTTAAATGGATGATTATGGTTGCAAGAATTCTCAATTTTGACAATTTTAAAACCTTACTCGTTACGAGCCAACTTCGGCCTTCTACTAACACCAATAAACATAAAATTTGTCAGCAAAAGATTGTCCATAAATCAATGTCGATGTTAATCAACATTAGTACCTAAAATACGCTCATCCATTATTTACGGTTGATGCTTGCAAGTTTCTAATGTTTTGTCTAAGCCTTCACAATTAATGGGTATTTCTTCTTATATGTAGAATGAGTAGTCATATCGCTCGGCATTGCCATACTTTCGGTGTTCACAGTTAATGCCATCCAATGCCATTCGAAGAGTATTGTGGAACATTTGATTCACACCTTTATGATAGTTTGGTTCCCTCTTTAGAAGAGAATGATTGAGCCACTACCTAATTATTTCACATGACTTTCAATGTTTGACCTTCTGTGTTAACAATCGAATGTTATCAAATGAACTTCGACATCTACATACGTGAATCATCGATGTCCAACACTCTCCTTTATGATTTTCTAGTTTTTTTTTTTTTTTTGTTATAAGGAGAATGACCAAACTAACCAATAAACTAGAAAAATAAAATAAAATAAAATAAAGAAAATTAAAAAAAAAAACAGCAAAATTATCTAAAGCTATCTTATAAAAAGCAATACATTGTCAAATAAGATGATTTAAAAGAATTTGCCACTGTATATAATTAGCTAAATAAAAAATATTCAAAAATATTCAAATATATCCATGTTAAGACAACTTTAAACTTCATGCCATCAATTTTTTAGTGTATCTTCTTTGTAACTTCATCAAATTAGATAAACAAGGAAATTGCATCAAGCATTTCCTCTAGCTTGTTAAACCATGTTCTTTTGAAACTTTATATTTAGTCACTCATTCAATAAAGTTTTCCTTCTCAAGCTCAACATAAGCATGATTAAAACTTATAGTATTCTACAATACGATGGTATTGATGAGCAATTTTCTTGACTTGTTAGTCAAGATTTTTGCCTCTACTTCATCTATTTGGGAATGTTGGATTAGAGATTTCGTTTTGGTGTTTTTTTCAGATTTAGTTTGAACATTCACATTATCTATATCAATGATTATGGCAAGATAAATATCCAAACTAGTTCTACCAATTTCTATGACTATTTTGAAACTTTATAGAAAATCACTTCCGATGGCAACTTCAATATCAATAGATTTTTTGTCCTTTTAGGTACTTTCAAATTAACAGAACCTCCTTCACGTTTTTTTAAATATTCTTTCATAATGGTTATACTTCCACTTTTCAAGTTTTTCTTAAGCCAGTTCTTGAAGGTGATGTAATCCTCTATAGTGTGCCCCAATAATTTGTGGTACAGACAATAATTGGGTTGATCTTTCTTGTTGATGACTTCCTCGGGCTTAGCTTAGGCAATGTGAATTCAGGCTTCTTGACCAAATTCCAAAACTTTAAGAAATAAATTCTGCTTAACCTTTATTTTAAGGTCGGAACCTAACTCCCATCCGAGTGGTAAGGTCCTGACTGGAATGGCTGCTGACTAACTGCTGGCGTTGTTGGCGATCACATTGCTGACTGTGTTGCAGATCATACTGTTGGTTGTACTGCGATGGTCATTAGTAAGTTTGTTGAGGCGGCTCAGTATGAATCTGCCTTGACTGCTTACCCCTGTCAAATGCTTTCACCATCTTTAATCTATTTTCAAATACATTTGCTGCCTTTGGCTTGTCCGCCTTCTCCAAGAATCAAAGTTGCTTAACCTCCTCTTGCAGGCTTGCAACTTTGCTAAGTAGCTTTTCAAAAGTCTTGATGGTAAATCCCTTCAGCAAGAAAGCTATTGGACCGTGAATGCTCTCGAGTAAGATCCCAATAACTTGTTGCTCCTACAACTGAGGCTCAAACTTCATGCTGAGATTCCTTCAATGTAGAATATAATCAACTAACATCTCAGTTAATTTCTGTCGCTCGACCACAAGATCACCAACAGTGATATGGTGTTGAGCTCTTGCATACCTTTTGACAAACAAGTTCTCCAATTCTGCGAAGGCCTTTATCGATCCATTCGACAAATCTGCAAACTAATCGAAGCAACCTCTGAAAGGCCGCTCACAAACTATCGAAACAAAAGCGCTTCACTACCCCCTTCATTGCAGTAACTCGCGCGAAAGTGTTCCACATGCTGTCATGGGTTCCCCGTCTCGTCAAAGGTCTTGAAAGTTGGAGATACAAATACTTTGGGGTAATGTATAATATCAAACTCCTTTGGAACCAATGCCCCTCCCTTCGATTGAGTCAGGGCTTCATTTACCTGTTGTTCTACTATCTGTTTTATATCTTTTTATGGTACTATACTCTGTAATGAATTTTTTTTTGGTTTTTTTTCCTAACCGGTAGTGGTGAACTTTTCATTCCATCTGAAATGTGAACAACTTCTAGTTGATTTACTTTCAAGAAGCGATGTGTGGAGACTACGGTTGACTTTGAAGCATGGCCACAAAATCCGTCATCTTCTCTAGCTTCTTCTCCATTCAAATGGCTTGCTCATCTCACAGTTGGATGGATCTTTGTAGCTTATTAGAGGTGTTCTCTTCGGTGGGTGGTGGAGCATCGCTTAATGATGAAGAGGCCCGAGTCTCCACCACAAGAATTTTCTCATATTCCTCCTTCATTTAATTCGACAAGTTGTAATCTCCATCATTGTCATCCTTTTTTTGTTCCCTTCATAACTATGTAATTTCAATTCTAAGCTTCTTTAATGTATCTTTGATTGATTTTCTTTTGGTCATCTTGAGATCAACTTGCAATTTTCTTACGGACATCTGTACATGTATCAAATTTTGGTAAAACGACCGACATTTCATACTTAAGATCCTTTCAGAGCATTGGCTTTTAACACTTTCTAGTGACATCAGACTGACGACCCTAAGTCTCCACCTCTTCCCCATTAGTGCTAATTTCCAGAAACTGGGTACCTAATACACCAAAAATATATGCATTTTTAGACCCATACTTTTTACTTTTTTTTGTGATATTACACTTTAATGGAAGATATTTTTTTGTGTTTTATTGCAGGTTATTGATTTTTAGGACTGTTGTTGATTTTTAGGACTTGAAGCAAAAAAAAAAGCAAAAATGATGAAATTTAGAGTCAAAATGGAGAATTTAAAAAAAGTTCAGCACCGACGGCACTATTTGACAGAGAAATGGCCTTTGGCGCCAATGGCACCATTGTCAGTGCAGGCCTTGTTTCTAGAAGATTCGACAAATTTGGACGCTTTTTGAAGAGTTTTTGGATGCACCTATTGTGGAACCGACCCTAGGCTCTATTTAGAGCCAAAATTTGATCAGAAACCCCCCGCCCCTTCGCACCATTTCACATTCTTCCACTCAATCAGTTTTTCTCTTTGCACGCCTACATTTCACGTCATTCCACACCATTAGTTAGTTATTGTCTTTATAGTTTTGAGTTTTTGTGGTGAGTTTAAGTTTGAATTCTTCTCTAAAAACTGTTGGAGAGGAAGAGAAGTGAGAGATTTCTTCTTCTTACATTTCCTAAGAGAGACTACAAAGAATTTGTTTTGAGAAAGAGTTTTAGATAAGTGTTATTTGTTTATTATTATTGCATAAACTATCTTTTATATATGAAATTTTTATTTTGTTGTATTTTTCTCATGAAGTCTGAGTAGATTCCTTTATCTTTCTCCCTACTCTGAGATGTAGTGAAATGAAGAGATAATTTGGATGTGCCTGAGTTAAAATTTAAAATAAATTGTGCTGGTTTTTTCAACTCCGCTCTTAATTTACTTTTGATCTGACCAATTGAATTGTTAAAATATGTTGTGAAACATACAATCCAGGAAATGGAGTATGAGTTCTATAACATAGTGTGAAGCCAATTTAAGTCCATGAAAAAGTCTTTTGTTCATAGAATTAAGTGTAAATAAATAGTGAAATATATTTTATTGGGTGTAGAATTGGAGATATTTTTAGGGTGACAGACTAAAAATCCTCAATTCAATCTTAGTGTTTAAAAACTAAAGCGAGAGTTACCTTTCAGAGGATATGAAGTGGGAGCTCTGAAGTTGGAGTCAGTATCCTTCTAGCCTAGCCGCGGATTTAGGGATAAATCTAAGATTAGCCAATGATTTTCTATAACACTAATCAGGGTAGAGAATTAAAATTGCTCCTATTTGGCACAATACAAATCTAAACCATTTATCTCATCTCATTTCACCAAAGACTCATTGTAGTGGGAAAGATGTTTTTTTATATTAGAAAACTTCATCACATAAACATAGTTTAGTAGTTATTTTTCTTAAAACTCTGCATTCAAGTTTTGCTAGTAGTTAATAATTTACTTTTTTTTAGTATCTTACACTTTCAAAATTAGTGATAGTAATTTTGTTTAATTTCTATGAATTTCTTAGTTAATTTAT